ACTCTTGTACACACAGCTTGCGTTTGGACGGCGAAAAGCCCATGCCATACCTGGATATCTCGATCGCCAAGCGGTTCACAGAGTGTTGGACCGCCTGTGTGTTGTCACCCAGCCAGAAGCTGTCGTCCGCATATTGTAAGTTAGTAACTCTGTTCCCTGGGGGGAGTTCGGTAAATTCCCACAATTGACGAGAACCAACCAGGTCGAAACAATCGAGCTTTTTCGGTTATCAGTTCTTGCTTTTTTCGCTGCAAACACGAAGCGATTCACCAAATGATCAAATCGACCCCATTGCTCACAAAAACCACATTCGTTGGAAAGATTACCGGGTAAAAAGCAACGATGTGTCGTGCACGGTTGAAAGTAGGCTCCAAGAGAAGATTGAGAAATTCAATGGACTAATGTGGTAAAGAAACTAAGATGCACGAACGCCACTGGTTGCGACACCCAACCATATCACTCAGTGTAGCCAACCATCGGTGACCATCATCCCGAGGTCCCCCAGGACCTACGTGACCCGGACTCCTGGTTGGGGTTTTCATACCCTCGCACCAGGTCTTCGCTTGACCACCCTTGGCTTTATTCAACCCGCTGCCTGTCTCGGCGATCATCGCCCGCCATGGCAACCTATCTGTTGACATGCGTAGCACATGCCTTAACCAACGTAATCTATAGAGGTCGACCACTTGCTCCAGTGGACGACATCAGTTACCCAAAACTCAGCGCCTAACCTCAGCATTGCTCATCCGCCTGCCCCACCAGATTCGTGCAATGCTGCGTAGACAACGGTGTTCGAACACCCACAGTTCATCTTTATCCTGCTTCCTTATTGGTTAAGTTTCTGCACCGTATAGCAGTACTGGCCGAACTGTCGCGCCATGCACTCGACCCTTCACAGACAGCAGAATATCGCGACGGCGCCACAGATGTCTCAAGTTGGCAAATGCCAACCGAGCTTTCTCTATGCGAGCTGACACTTCATTTGTGATGCGTTCACCGGATGAGATGCACCTGCCCAAATAACAAAACTTATCCACCTGCTCTATTACTTCCCCAGTTAGGGTGAGGCTAGGTGCTGGACCAACCCAATCTTGTAGTAGCATTTTATACTTTGAAGGTGCAAAACGCATACCGAATATGGACACACTAGCACTCAAACTATTCAGAAAAGCTTGCAACTTACCTGGATCGTCACTTAGTAATACAACGTCGTCTGCACACTCCAGATCAGATCAATGGCACTATCCTCGCACGAAGATAGGGCTGTTTCAAGAATTGAATCCATGACAAAGTTAAATAGAAAAGGAGAGAGAGGGCAACTCTGTCGAACACCACTTTCCGTGATGAACTCGGGTGAAAAAGTGCCGTAAGCTCGAACTCGGCTTCGGCTATTATTGTAGAGGGATTGTAATATTGAAATTAACTAAAGGAGTGTCTATGTTCTAGAATTTGACGAAGTGTGAAGATGTGGGGGAAGTAGTAGAAGTAGACACATTTGGCCGCGGCGAGCGATGTTTGCCAAGGCTGCTAGCGATTGGTATAAAACGAAGGGTGGTCAAGCTAAGACCTGGCATGAGGGTATGAAAACCCCAACCAGGAGACTAGGTCACATAGGCCCCGTCACGCTCCCTGGCTGGGGACCTCGGAATGATCGTAACCGATGGTTAGCTACACTGAGTGATATGGCTGGGTGTCGCAAACAGTGGCGCTCGTGTATTCACTCATTATTCCCCTATCACTATTCTATATGAATTCTCCATCTTCCGCTTGAATTTGCTTTCAACAACCAAATCTTCATTTATCTCTTTTATGCAAATGGGGTACCAAAAGACAGCAACCAAAACTGGCGCACGAAAGTGCATGGTTAATGGTTGTAAAAACTGAATTGAACTGAAACACCACATCAAGGTGCATCGTTACAAGAAAAAAAACCTTAGATCGCCGAGCAAGCCGAACTAGTTGGAATGAAAATTAATCTGTATAGTCAACAAGTCGAAATTCACTGACCATTTATTTTTAATCAAAGGGCAATGTGAAAATAGCTGAAAACAACTTTGTGACAGATCTTCTTGAATTTTTTGTGATGAGTCAAATATGTTGGAAGTAGAAGACTGTAGACAATTGCCTCAGTACTCACTTGAGCTTGATCTAAGTAGAACTCGATCCCCGTCATACAGAGAAGCTGTTCTGGACTAAGACGTTGCATTCGAACCACCTCGTTGTTACACTGTCGATCGTAGAATGGATTAGATAAGTCACAAAAGTAATCCAACACATTGACCGACGAAAGCAGATGACTCCACGCGGGATTGGACCAAGAGATACTGTACAATTCGTCGGTCGAATTCGCGTCTCCGATTGTGGTAGACATAGTTTTTCTATCCCCGTAAAAACGTACTACTGGTCCAATAACTGGCGCACCTCTTTGGCTTTGCGTTCAAAGTAATTCTGTTTCTTACGCAAATATTTCAGACGAAGAATATGAGCGTAGTAGCCACAGGCAAATCCAGTTCCAAATACCAGCATGAACCAGAGAGTATTCAGGGACATTAATTCCGAATGTGCCTTCCTATGTGACAAATTGGATATAAATTGCCCTGCAATAGAAACAAAAATAAGTTCAATAATCATGTGAAGTCGTTTAGCTTCGGAACTCTGGGCATTACCTTTCGCCGCAGTAGTAAACCTCTTTCTCCACGATGGCGAGTGAAGAAATGGAATAATCTCAGACAAACAAACATTTTTAAACACGAGTTTCCAAAGCCCACGCAATCAACTCAACTCTTCGACTGGATTTAACACTCAACCAATGGTGAAATTTTATAAATAACAATTATCGATTATTGACGTTTTTAAATTTGAAGCAAAAAGAGTGGACCCCACGATCAACGATACTGAAAACAAGAGATGGTGCGTGTGAACACACAAATAGGAAACAACTTATTGATCTTGCCTCTAATGAAAGAAAAATTGTTAGTTTTTCTGGAGTGTAGAAAGTTGATGTCTGAAAGATAGGATTTATACATCTGGGAGCAGAAAAAATGAGTGACAGACCACTTGCGATCGAGAAGGATGAGAAAATGAAGTGTGGAGGGAAAACGCCGGAGAGTTTTGAAGAACAAAAAAAAGTAGTGACTAAAGAAAAACGGAAGGCCTGACGATGAAAAAACGACCGTCAGAGAGTATTGATCGGCTGGATATTGTTTTGCTGAATCCGATCTAACGAGAAATCACAAGAGACGCAGCTCCATCCGACGAGTGCCGAGTTGGTTAGAACAAGTCGATGGGAGTAAGCGAGAGTTCAGGGTGATATAGGAAACAAACTTTTCGCTCAGCATAAGGCAAGTCTAGGTGTATTTGTATTTCCATACAAGCAGCCCATTGGATGGCATTATCTCGGAGGGTTGGCTGATCATAAAAACCTAGGTTGGCTAGTTTTCTTGGGAGCAGAGAGTTACGCACCCATTTCAACACTTTAGGGAAGTCTAGCAGTGTCACACTCATTTGTGTTTCTCGTCTATGGCTGATGTGTACCACCGACGGTCTTTTTCTTTTCGTGAAGAGTATTGTAGCGTGATTTGTTCATCACAGACTTAGACTTATCTAAAAATATAAATATACTCCATGATCTCAGTAACGTTCATTTGGCAGGATCTCTTTCCTCGAAAACTGTGCTGTACATTGTGCAAACGGTTGGTTTTTTATTTCAAAACGTAACCAATTACAGAAAACTGGCAAATGTGCCAGAACTTATGAACAAAAAGAAATCTGAAGTGTGTTTATAAGTTGGGTGGACATGTTACTTCCCAGTTGCCCTTCATAATCTTTTAGATCATCGAGGGTAGGATTGCGGGACGGTAGTTTTACGTCGACGATCGATTATGTGACCTAAATATGGGAAAGACGATACATGACATCTGCTCGTTCGAACACTTTTCTAATTTCAGAGTGGTTAAACAGGCTGCTTAGTGGTTACAAGCTGCTTTACACACTTCTTCAACATGACTAGTGATATCACATCAAGGAGTGATGACTTTTTAGCCGGTTGATCATCTAATTTTAATCGGACCTGCATCGGGAAGAACGACACAGGTTCCATGAGCCCATTCGAGATGGGTTCCTCTGTGAGGTAACTGCTGTCAACGGTCAGACGTAGCCGTTTTGGACTGAACACCGTGGATTAGTATTCACTCAGGGTGTTTGCCGCGTCTTTATTACTGCCCCTGAGGGTTCCATCTACCCGGCGGATATCCGTGATCTTAGCTTTAGCCTGCGTCACCAGAGGGACGTCCCTTTAGAAACTCCTAGGATTTGCAATGACTCGGTTTAGTAACTGCAACTGGTGCTTTGCAGTGTCCTACTTACGTTATACGTTGCATTGGCTGTGTGCTTCAATAAACGACGCATATTCCTGTGTACATTTTTATTTATATTGATATTTCCGAGGCCAGAGTGTGCCAAATAAAACATGGTACAATGATATTTATAAAAAAAATAAAAACGTTCCATGATTTGCATGTGGGCCGAATACTGCTAGGTTACCCAGGCCAAGGCAAGTGAATTCTCTTGATTAATCTGCAACCGGAGCCTTCGGTCAGTCAAAGCCTGAACAGCAAAGCAGTGGGACGGCGTNCAGTTAATTGGATCATACGCCCTTTGGACAGGGTCAAACGTCAGTGATAGGCTATACAGCTTGACGGCCTACCACGCATTTTTTACTGTTTTTTTACTATGGCTGGCTCCTTGGAAAGGATAAGCCGGCTCCATGAATGTGTCTGATTGCCGCTATTTATGCTTGGCGGNNNNTTGGCCGTAGGACTCCTGCAAATGCTGCTTCATCGGCAGGTGCCGCATACCATTTGAAGGCCAAATTGGTCGAGGTCTTCGAATACAGTGTCCAGCAAGGGTTTTACTTTTCCCTTCCCTTCTTGTCGGCGGAGCCAGCCAGGACATAGTGTTGGGGTCAAGACACTACTTGTAAAAGAGTCGTCGGATTTGAGGGGAAACGTGTCCCAGCCGTTGCAGTCGGCGGCATTTTATGTACGTTGAAAGACAGGCAACGTGGCACCGATTTCTGGTGAAAACAAGATTTGTCACCCACAATTCTTAACATCTTAGTTCCGTCCTATTCTATCGATCCTTCTGATGCATTTCATCTCCGTGGCACAGACTGATCAGGTAGCAGTATTCACCTTCCACCCCATTTATATTGCAGTACACTAATACAGCTTCAAAACTTTATCAGTGTAGTATAAAACTTATTCGTGAATACTTTCTCAAAAATAGTCACCCAGTTCTCCTATCATGGTAACCTCACACCTCACCTCTCAATCTGCCCTCCAACATGCTGTAACACGTATCAAGCTGCCAAACTGCTGTGTACACCTTCATATTCACGACTTTTCATCATTATACTGATGAAGTTCTCCAGATCTCTAAGGGTATC